AGCAGCAGCGGCGGCGGCAGCAGCAGCAGCTGCAGCAGCAGCAGCGGCAGCGGCAGCGGCAGCGGCGGCAGCAGCAGCAGCAGCAGCGGCAGCAGCAGCAGCAGCGGCAGCAGCAGCGGCAGCAGCAGCAGCAGCGGCAGCGGCAGCAGCAGCAGCGGCGGCAGCAGCAGCGGCGGCGGCGGCGGCAGCAGCAGCAGCGGCAGCAGCAGCAGCAGCGGCAGCAGCAGCAGCAGGTCTGTATCAGCTGTTTACATTCCTCACAGATCAGATTTCTGGCAGAACATCCAGGTTCTGCAGCAGTGAACCCGAGCGCTGACTCTTGAACTGATACTTCATTATTATTTTATAATAAACATCTAAAAGATAGATGGACATTTTTCTAACTTTATATTTTATATTATTCTGCTACTTTTTGGATTTGGACGTGAAATTTAAAGAGCAGATGCTGATTCAGAAACAAAAATAAAAACTGGATTGAAATTAATTAGATTTACAGCTTAAGTTGGAGCTTGGAATTAATTTTCTTCATTCTGTGTCAATATTTGACTAGACCGGCTTAGTTATCTGAAATCAAACAACAAAAAGGTAAAAAAAAAAAAGTCACAATCTGAGTCAGTTTCTCTGTAAAAACCATCAACCAGCATCACAGAATGATAATATATTTATGTTCCATTTACTTAAACTGCATTAAGAAAATTATAATTAAATTATATTATATTCTGTATGACATAAAACCTAATTTCTAATTTATTTCTAAAACTAAAGTAATAATGTCTGGTTAATATTTGGTATTAAAAACATTTTAGAGTCAATAATATTCAAAAGTTGCATTTCTAACTTTGAAAATGGGATTTTAAAAAAAACTGTTTTCCGTCATCTGCTTTCCAAGCTCATTTGGAGCTTGGAAAGAAAAAAACTGTATAATTTCACACAGTTTAGGAGCATCTAATGACCAAGCTGTAGTTAGAAAAGCTGCCAGATATTAATGATAATTCAAAAGAAAACTTGAAAAATAAACAAAAGAACACAAGAGTGGAAAAAAAAATGAATTTATTGAACAGCACTTTTTTTAAAAAAAAATGCCTTGTAAACAAATTAGAGGGACTAGAAACAATAAAAGAAAACCAAAAATAAATAAATAAACTTCTCTACAGTCTTACTCATGTTAGTCTGCCATCCTAGCCTTTTCTTTTAGCTTTCTGATGGCTGGAGTGTTAGGAAGGTTTTCTACCTCTAGTTTTAACTCATTACTGCCTCCTGCTGCGTCTACAGTGACACTTTGTGCACGTTTTGGTTCATCGTTAATAACATTACGGCTAAGAAAGTAACAGCACTGTGTGTGAAATAAAACCACTAAATAAAAAACTAACGGTTGATTTTCTGATCTGAACTGAGTTCTGACGTTTTCACCCCCACCAACACTTGAAAGGCCTTTGCACACCAACGTGTAACTTAGACACAAATAATAACAACCTGCAGCAGTTTGGGAAAATCAGATGAATTAAATAAGGAGAAACTTTAAGGTTTATTTTAATTTACAAGATCAAACCAACCCTTCATTTTTTGCTTAACATACTTTGTTATAAAGTGCATCGTGCTGGAAAACAAAGTGAATCAGCTTGGATTCAGGTTTGGATCTGGATGCTTAAATGTAAAAATGAGCACAAAACGTCAGGGAACGTCTGATTGGTCGATTTTTTCCTTGGTTTTAACAAAGCCTATTGGCAATAAACCTCAAACCATCAGAGAAATCCAAACATTTGGATTTCTGTTTCTTAGACTTATGGGAGAAGCAAATCTGGGCTGAGTCTCTTCCTCATGCTGGTCACTGCCACGGTCAAACATTACTGTGGGACGGTAACCAGCATTTGCAGGAAGTTGGCCAATAATCCAATCCTATAAACCAAACAAAGCTGGAGTCATTAAAAAAACTGTTTAGCATCTGGATCAGAGAGGATTTTGACCCAAAAATTCTAAACACAAACCAAGAAATGGATTTTTCCTTACAAATGTGGCTCATTTACAGGAAATAAATCATTTAAAGTAGAATAGACTTTACTGATCTCCAAGGACAAACTGCTCATTTGTGCAGAGTTAATTAGTAAATACAATTTAACCATAAGCAATACAAACTGTATTACTTTTTAAAATAAATAATAATATCATGTAGTAATAAAAAATAAGAAAAATATATAAATAATAATATAAACCAGCAGTGTTCAGATTTAATACCAAGCAGAAATGAATCAACCAAACAGGAACTTCTTGACTTTTTGTGCTCAGTTTAGCTCCTGGAGGAATGAAATGAAGCAAAAATATTCAATATTAGGGATAAATCTTCAGTCTGGCTGACACCCAGCTTACACCGTCCTAAATAAACATCAGTTTATAATATTTAGCTTTGTATTAAGTGTAATTTGATCTACAGGTTTCTAGAAGATCTTTCAGTATTTTTGTTTTTTTGTGTCAAACTGTGTCATCTTCAGAAAAAGATTCAGCCAAAGAAATGGGGATATAAAAACAAGATGGCTGACAAGAAAGCGCCTAAAGATGTAATTTAAATCTGGTTTCTGATTAATGTCTGACTGGGTGAAAGGTCAGAGTTAAGGACCAAACAGTGCAAACCACTTTGTTTCTGTTATTGGTGAATGAAAGAAAAACGGAAACGAAAGAGAAAGGAAGGTGGTTTGCAAAACATAAAGTGACAAATGAATAAATAAGTGGGCAGAATTTACATTTTAAATGAAAAAAAGTGAAAGGAATGAATGAAAAAGTAGTTTAAATAAAAACATTGGAAAGGAAACTCCAGAATATCACTTGAAGCTGCAGTATGAAACTTTTATAAAAACAGACTTGAAACAATGGTATGAGACAAATAATCTGTGAAAAAAACAACAACAATCAAGCTCCTCTGTTTTCTCTCAGTGCTAACTAGAAACAACCAATCAGAGCCAGGAAGCAGGACTTTGCGCTGTCAATCAAGTCAATCAGCAGAGCCTGTTATGAATGCTAAGGCTAGTTAGTATGGCCACCAAAGATATGAGATAAACGGTTTTCCTGAAACAGTAAGTTGTTTCTCCACCATTAGGACATTTAGAAGCGCATTCATGAGAATGATCGAAAGCGCTAAGACCCGCCTCCTGGCTCTGATTGGTTGTTTTTGGTCGAGGGCGGTGAATTGCTTCAGACAGTACATGTCGCACATGTATGAGGTGGAGGAAATTGATCTTTTCACAGATTATCTGTCTCATATTGAACAATCAGGACATGGTCAGTTTTATCAAATATGTAAAAAAAGCATTATTTTTTTTGACTGCTTGGAAGGAAACCGTCACATATATTGATGTTTGTACAGAATGAAAAATGTTCATATTGAACACCAAACACAGACGTGGTGCGCAAAGGCCTTTGTTTTACCAAAAACAACAAAAACAGAACAAACTCATAAAAAATGTTTGTCAGTTTGAGAAAAAATACAAAAAATTTTATCTGATTTTATCTTACACATAAACCGGCTCCGCTCCGGTCTGAGAACACCGAGTGTTGGGCTTACGCGGCCTGAAGCGGCGCCTCTTATGTGACCCCTGGTGACCTCACAGCTCACAAACCGAATGAGACGCGGGCTTTGAACGGAAAACACCTGAATCCTTCAGATGTAAAAAAATGAAATGACCCACAAAACAGAAACTAACCGAAACCGCCTCTGTTAGGCCTCAGATGCACCATGAGAGGTCAGGAGAGGTCAGGAGAGGTCAGGAGAGCCACGGCGACCCAGATGCAATGCCAGGCTCCGGAAAAACATTTAAATAACAGCTAAAAAAATACAAACTTCATAACTGCACTGAAAACACGTAAAAACAACGTCTGAATCACCATGGCAACATAAAAACAAGACAACGATGAAGACTTGGTCCTTATCAGCAGTCTGCACAACATGGGTGTGTGTGTGTGTTAGTCTGAGACAGAGCGGGGTTAGAGAAACGTCAGCTGAGTTCAAACTTCATCTTCTGTGACATCAGAGGCCAAATAAAAAATAGAAGTAAAAAAAAAAAAAGGCAGATGGTCTTTTAGGACTCCTGAGGGACGACCTCCATGACCTTTTGACACCAGGCGGTGGTCGTGACTGCAAACACAACAAACCAGAGTCTGTGTTAGTTTCCGCCATTTTCTGCTCAGATTCAACCAGAAAATCTACAGAAAAGTAAAAAACCCCCAAATAAAATCAGCAGAAATATTTATTTAATTTAATATTTAATTTAACTGAATGCTGCTGGATTATTTTAGACTCAAATATAGCATGAAAATTTTATTGTAAATAAATAAAAATTAAAAATAATCTGGAGGAAAAAATAGGTTGAAATGAGTTTAGACTTCCTTTCATTTTTTTAGTTTTAAAAGGTAATGTTTTTATAATCCCATATTTTTTTAACAGTACACTACTTTTCTTAAAACAATGTTTTTCTGAACATTTAATAAATCAGAGAGTTAAAGTAAATAAATAATCAACTCTTAAAACATAGCTAACGCAGCAAATCACTTTTAAAATGTCAAAAAATTGTCAGTTTTTGTTTTATACAAATTAGTTCATTTTTCCTTTAAAGTAAAAGGAAACTTGAAATAAATAAATTTCAAGTGTTGCTTTAATGAATATCTGTGAAATAAAATAAACAAATAAATTATTTTTAAACAAGAATAAATGTGCAACTCTCTCTCTATTTCATGTTTTTTACACCAAAATAAACATTATTATATTTCAAATGTTATTTTAGTCAATATGTGCTAAACAAACTAAATAACTAAATAAAAATGAGAAAAAAATTGTAACTCAATCTTTTTATTAAAATTATTTTTTTTCTTTCATACCAAAATAAAAAAATGTAAATAAATGCATTTCAAATGTTATTTCAGTGAATATCTGCAACAATAAATAAATTTAAAAAATATATTTCTATTTTAACTTGCTATGACCTGGCACATTGTATTGTAAGTGAATTTAAATTATTTATTAAACTAAAGAAACCCATTTTAAAAAAGCATTTCATAATGACTCAATTTTGTTTTAGCAAAAAAAAAACATATTTCCTACACCTACTTCACTGACTTTATTTAGTCTTTACGTAACTAATCTTAAATATATTCATACTGAAGTGTATGTTTTTTATGATTCATGAACTTTTGCTTTGATTGATCCTTCTGAGCTCCTTCATCATCATCATCACTCCAGGAAAAACAGATTCATAATTTCACTCACAGATGCCGCGCGTCATCCACCTGGGTTTGTTCTTCCAACAAACGCCGACAAAGTAGACGGGCAGTCCGGTGGCGATGATGCCGAAGCCGATGGCGCACTCCTTCGGCGTCTTCCAGAAAGACACGATGATGAGGAAGAGGCAGGCGAGGACGAAGCTCACCGGCAGCAGGATGTTCACCTGCAGCGGCGGAAACGGAACAGGTTCAACAGAGACTCCGGTTTTCATGAAAACTGATCAAATCATTGTTTTTTAGACCATATAGACCTGTTCACCTTTGATGACAGGTCCAGGACGAGTTCCTTTAATAGAAAACATTCCTGACTTCCTGCTCAGTTTTCATGACCCAGATTATGAATGGATGGAAATAAGATTTACACAACGGACAAGGGAGGAAAAAAAATCCACAAACTGAAATATTTTTTCCATATTTATCCAGGTGTGTGAAACAATCAACCTCCTGACTTTTCCAGACTGTGTGGGAACCATGGCAACTGAACAAGTCCCAAACTCTTCAGGAGTAAAATCTGCCAGTTCCAGTTCAATCTGCATCCTTAGAGGGAAATGTCCCTTAAAATAAGGAATGAATCACCTCACAGTGATAAAATGGGAATAAAAGGCTCCAGGTTCAGGACGTTTCTGCTGCTGGTCTTAGAAGAGGACCAGGCCGCCCGGTAATAAATGTCTGTCTGTTAACGTCCGCTCGTTAATCAGCTGCGTCTCTCCTCACCAGTGAGATTAATCTCCACTGGTCCAACTGGAAACCAGCTGAGCAGCAGGAATGTGACAGAGAAACGAGGACGACATGGGGAGAGGGAGAGGATGCTCCAGCCCGTCCATCTGCCTCGTCTAGTTTCTGCGACACGCGGCGCCATGCCAACGGGCGGCAAGAGCAGCCAACCGGAGCGCACAGGCAGACCGCGAGAAACGGCAGCCAATCAGAGGCTGCAGTTGCTGCTTCAGAGCGGGATTAGAGTGGAAAAACTGAGGTACTGGAAACTTTGTTCTCAGATTTCTGTCTTTAATCTCAGGTTTCTGACTTTAAGGCAGATGAGCATCTGAGAGCAAACAGCGTCAATGATGCGAAATGTTTAGGAGATCTCACTTTCTGGAGAAAAATGTCAGATTTAAAGATTTTTTTCACGTGGCAGATTCAGTGACCCTCGTCTTTTTCAGTAACTTCAGAGGCTGACTGATGGGAAATCTTTAGCAGAAACTACCCACCGAGCGTGCAGACACCAACAGCTACCCTGCAGATGATGAGCTTCCTGCCTCATTCCTGCTCTTTGATCAGCGCCGAACCGTTTGATTCGGCTCTGAATAGATCTTTGTTTGTGGAACAGAGAGGAAAGTTTTCGTGCTGCCAAAGTTAACAGGAAGTTTACGGGAGTGAGCGAGACACTGCGATCGCTCTCCTCGTTCCTGTCCTTCTGCGTTCACTCGCCTTAATCGGCCGCTCCAGCTCGGGCTTCTTGTAGCGGAGCCACATCATTCCCACAATCGCCATGGCGATGCAGAGCCAGTTGAAGAAGCTGAAGAAGTTGATGACGGAGAAGATGTCGTTGGAGAAAGCGTAGAGCAGCGTCATCAAACACTGGAGAGAGAAGAGCGCATCGCATCGATTACTCAGCTGGTCTAAACCTGACAGACTTCATGTTTAACGTAAAAATAAAACGTCAAAAGAAAAACTGCAATTACGCACCGTGAATATGAGTGAGGGCAGCGGCGTCAGCAGCGTGGGGTGGATCATGGACAGCAGGCTGGGCAGGTGACCCTCCCGCGACCCCACAAAGAATAACCTGAGAGGTTGGAGAAGATGAGCGAACCAAACTAATGGTAGTTATGAACACAAATTTTTATCCTGTAACGGTGCATCAATTTATCGGCCAGCCAATTTGTTTAATTGTGGAAGATCTGTGATCGGCCGATACTTACATGTGCAGCCAATTTCCTCCCCTGATCTGATCTACCTCAGCAAAAATCTAAAAATCAGACACTGTCCTCTTTTGTTCTGTGTGAGAAGACCGGCCCAACAGGTCATGTCTGCATGTTTGCAGTTAAAAACAGTCACCCAACTGATGCCAACTCAACGACTTTCTTGCTGTATTTAGCAACATTTCAGACAAAAACAATGATATCAGCTAAAATCGGAATCGGGTCAGGCTACTTAAAGATCGGTAATCGGCGATCAGCCAGAAAACTGCCATCGGTGCACCCCTAATATCTTGCTAATGCTGAACAAAAACACAATGTTTCCATTAAATAAGAAATCAAATTAAAATCACACCTGAATAAGCTCGTTCATGGGATAAGTCTTTAAAAATAAAGGCAGATTATATACAGCTAAACATATATATATATATATATATATATGTATGTATATGCTAGCGCTCATCGTCTATCAGCCAATCAGAGGAGACGTTAGCATCTTATTCAGGTGTTGGGGCAACAAGCTCTGCCTACTTGGGAGAAGTTATGTATGCAGTGCTTGGCGATTCAACTCTTTTGACAAACATATAACTTTTAATGAACTGTGATGCTGTGAGAGCTCTGGAGGAACCGCCTGGACACTGTCCAAAAAACTAAAACAAACCATCATCCTCCTACTTCCTGTTGTTTTCTTAGGCGTTTCCGCCAGTAGTAACATCAAATGACCCATGTGATGCAAAAAAAGTGTTTCCATTGCAGTTTTGCAAAATACACCCATCTAAATACATCTGGAAAACTGCCTCATTCTAGCCCAAACACTGTTTTTAATCTAAAATGTTTAGTTTTTTTTCTAAATGGGTACATTTACATTAAGCAAATTTACCTTCATAATTTCAATTTGCACAATTATATGATTAATGTAAAAGCAGCTTCACAAGGCCTGGATTGTATAAAACTCGGGCGCTACCTGGATGATGTGAAGAGCGAACCGTTGACCGAACCGAAACACGACAGACCCACAAACACAGGGATGATCCACGCCATGGGGCCCAGGTGGTAGTTCCCAAAGTCCTGCAGGAAACACGCGCAAACACTTACAAACAACTTCAAATCTGGTTCCATTAAGTGAGAAGATCATGGAGGACGTTCAACACAAAACCCGAATGAGCGGCTATAATGATGGATCAGGTGGAAGCAAAATGAGACAAACTGAAAGGTCGCTCAGAGAGGAAGAAGTCATGACACCAGATGGACCAGGGAACCTTTTTTTGTCTTAAATCTGCCTGTTACACTGAGCACAGAAAAACTCTGGCAATTATGGTTTTAAATATTTTCATTTTTGATGTGAGAAATAACTAAAACTTCTCTGACTTCTCTGTCGAAGCAACTAGAACGTCCAGAAAACTCAACCTGAAAACAGATGAGGTGATTCAAAAAGTCTGCTGCCACTAATAAATGTGTGAAGTTTGTCCTAGATAATGAAATGTCAGTCAAGTTTTTAGAGTTATTGGCCAACAGAGATGCTCACCTTTAAAGTTCCTGTTTGTTCTAAAAATATTGCTTATCGTATCAGTGATAGAATAATAAATAAAGTCATGTCTGGAAGTCAGTTCATTTTTCACAAAGATGTATTAGGGCCAATGGAGATAAAAAAAAAGGAGTACAAAAAAACTGAAATTTTCTGAGTTTGAAAAGTTTAAATTTTGCTAGAAAAAAGAAATCAGAAATGTTCAATCTCCATGTTTTTTCTCAGATATTTGACATATTTTCTCAAATATGTCTGATTGTATTACTAGCCTTTATTTGTTGGCATTTGAGGCTTGATAGTGTAACTTTTTGTTGTGAAGTTTTAATTTGACTTTTTCTTAGTCAATTTATTCTATTGTGTTAATGTTTTTGTTCAGCACTTTGGTGCAGTTTTAAACCTGTTTTTAAAAGTGCTGTATAAACAGATTTGACATTGATCTGTGATGGCCCAAATACTCTGTGGTGATATTTAACATCCAGCAGTGAAAATGTGCGGGAAAAGCCAGCAGGTTGCAGGCCGGGTGTGAACTCACCACAGCGACAGCCTCCGAGCTGAGCATGTCTTCAGGAGAGATGGTGGTGAAGTAGGCCAGGTTGGTGAGAACGTACACAGCGGTGACGATGGGCAGAGAGATGATGATGGCTCGAGGAAGGTTTCTGGACAGACACCAAACAGTCAATTACAACAGCTCACACTGCAGCCTCTCAATGCTGATAAAAACAACGACAACCTACTTGTAAGGCTCGATCATTTCTTCAGTGACAAAGTTCAAGTAGTTCCTGCAAACAAAGGATACAGAAGTTAAACTAACATTGTGAAAAGGTGACGATGCAGATTTCTACTGGTCGCCCTGTTAGGACTGGAATTCACTCAATGATGGGTTTAGAGGAGAAAGAAGAAGATGCTGAGTAATCAGAGACTCTGACATGCTCCGTCAGGAAGGCAAACAAATCAATCATCAATCAATCAAATTTTATTTGTATAGCACATTTCAGCAGCAAGGCATTTCAAAGTGCTTTACATAAATGCTGAACAATCTGTGACTGAAAACAATAAAATGTACAAAAACAATCTAAATCGCCACGTAGTTACAGTTTGATTGGTTGGATGAAACAGGGATGAGTCCACTGGTTGGATGGAAAAAAGGTGGTTGGGCTTGTTGGGTGGATGGATGGATGGATGGATGGATGGATGGATGCATGAGGGATGAGTCCATTGGTTGGATGAATGGACATTTTATCCAGCCATCCATCAGTTGATGGATGGCTGGATAATTGATTGATGAATCGTCAATTAACTCATCCATCAATTAGATGAATGGATGAGTTAATTGGATGGATGGATTGGATGGATAGATGAATGGATGGATCTACATGCTTGTAATCTGTTCACATGGCTCAGTTCATTTTGGACTCACCAGCCACCGTAGGCAAAGAGTCCGCTGTAGAGCGCCAAGCCGATGTTACCGAACTCATAACTGGATCCTTTAAAGGAGTTTTCAGGAAGGAGTTCATCCGTTCCACCTGAAAAAAAAACCCAACACATAACTCATTTCAGATCAAAAAAAGGAGAAAAAAGGCAAAACAGCAAATAGAATCAGGGTGTTTTGGTCCAAGCTGGAGGAAGAACAACAATGCTTCATCCTAAATCTGCCCCGTTTGAGTGGATTAATTACTTAGAAGAACAAAAACCAAACATTTACATATGCAGCTTGTAAAATAGGATCCAAATCATCCAGTTGTCCAGACATGACAGGTCGAACTTTGAAGCATCTAAAACTCTCCGACTTTCAGGTTTCTGCTGGTTTGGGCGGCTCAGGGTCACATTCCTGCTCCCCTGGACGCACATTCTCAGACCTGGCGACGGTCGCTAAACCAACGGCTCCAGGCCATGTTGGTTCAGCGAGGGTTAGCTGTAAGCCGGCGTGGGAAACTCTCCGCTGGGCCGGGCCGATGGGCTGGATGGCAGGAGGAAACCATTCATGTGTGGCAAACCTCCTAACGTTGCTAACAACCTCATGCCTGTGCTGGTACGCCAACATTCCTCCAAGGTACAGTTTGTAATATTTCTACTTATTTGTACATTAAATTATGAAAATAATAGGGTCAATGAATATGAATGTTTGATGGATGAAATAAGAAGCTGTTCTAAAAAAAATCCATATTGGCTAATTTTGGCATAGAGGTGCAGTATATAACTTTATTAAAAAAAGTTTTTTACTTATTTGTTGAAAGACAGAAAATCTGAAAAAACTGAACTCAACTGCCTTCTAACCAGAAACAACCAAACAGAGCAAGGAGGCGGACCTTAGCGCTGTCAATCACCATCCAACCCTCCTCCTTTCTCTCTGCCGCACTGCAGCTTTTTCCTGAGAGCAGGATGCTACAGTTAGTTAGCATGGCCACCAAGGACGGTAGATAAACGGACTTTCTGTAATAGTAAACTGTTTAGCATTAATACATAAGGATGATAGACAGCGCTAAGGCCCAGATGAGCAATTATACAACTTCTGCTCTTTGAAAAGCAGAAGTAGAGCCTCCTGCACAACCAACAATAATGCGGAAAATGATTTCTGGATGGTAAGTCAACAACAAAACACTTGTCTTTTCCAGCAGCCATTGTACAGCGAATGCAGCAGTAAAACCAGCAGACGAAACGTCCTGGAGTTGCTAGGTAACAGAGCTAGACTTGGCTGGGGTTGCTAGGTAACGGCGTAGTGTCCGTTGGTTGTATCTTATTACCAAAAAACAGTTGTGTGTGTATTTTTTTTTTAGAAGCAGTAGAAACGCAACTGGAAGGACTAAAATGTGCAAAATATGAATTTTCCAAGTTAGGTCCCCTGTAAAGCAAAGTGGACAGTATGAGTTAAAACATTTAATTTTCCTTTGGGATCAATCAGGTATTTTTGAATTGAAGTACATTTTGCATAAAATCAGTGACAACATATTTAATTTCTGACCAATTGAAGTAGAGCTGGCCCTCAGTAAAGAGGAGACACAAAGCTTCACGGGAGCACAATAAAATTTTAAAGCATTAAACATAACAAACTGACTGTCAAACATTAAAAAATCCAGTTAAGATTGCATCACCAAGCCTAAGAAGTCCCAAGAATAAGGTGCAAATGCTGTAAATAAAAACCCATCTCAACAAAAAGAATCAGAGAATTTATTTTATGATTTGCTGATTAGTGACATGATTGTTTTTTTCTTATTCCCCCAGGTGTTGCCCTCTCATGTCTCAGCGTGTCCAAATCAGGTGTGGTGTTGCTGCTTCTGGAAGCCTCACAAACAAGAACGCCTGATTTCTCTCTGACCTTTACAGATCTTCATGCCAAACTGGAAGTTATGATTCACCTCAAACTCTTTCTCAGATGAAAGCTGAAAAAAGTTTTCAGCTCCTCCTGATCAATCCAGGAATGACTGCAAACTTTTAAATTTAATGTTTTGCATAGTTCTAAAATAGAAGAAATCTTCTAAGGTTTACATATTTACTTCTGCTTTTTAACTTCCAGCCAACAGAGATTAAATAAACTGAGAAAGTGAAGCAAACAGGAAACATGCAGGCAGGTGAACACATGCCAACACCGCGTGAACAAATTCCTGTTTCTGCCTCTGTGACATTTATAGAAAATAAATTAATCTCAATTAAAACTATTTAAATGTAAAACATTGTCCAGTACTTCAACATTCTGCAGAGCGTGTTTATTTCTAGATTTATCTGGTTGAATTCCCAGTGAGTATTTGAAAATTTGGTAAAATTTGGTCAAAAATGCAAAAATGAGAACCAGTTTTTTAACTGCAGAAAATGAATCCCGTTGTGGAGCTAACAGATTAAAAATGTGTTGTGACTGGTTGTGCCTGGCAGTCGAGCTTGAAAATTACAATTCAGTGCAAATAAACTATCTGTTTTTCACAAAAATGAATTGAACTCTATTTCTCTATTTTCTACATGATAAATTCTCACAGTGGAAACTGTCTTAGCACAACGCAGAAGCAAGGCAGCTAGCATTCATGATCTTCCTTTGTCTGATCTGTGGGGTTCAGCCAATCAGCAACAAGGAAAATGAATAGCTGTAAAGGCCGGCCAATAGCACTCTGCCTAGGTATCTCAGCTTCCCAAGCTGCATTTTTGTTTGAAAAGTTTAGATATACTCTGTGAAAAAATAAAACAACATGTTTGTTATTATCTTCATATTTATCACTAATTCCTCTCCTTTTAGAAATAAACAGAGATAAAATACATCAGGTCCACTGAGTGCAACTTCCTTCTTCACAAAACGAACAAAAATGGCGCGGCGTCAGATTTTAGCGTTTGTAGGATTTCTCCTCTAGTCCATTTCTTGTATTTGGGGCGGTCTCCGGTCCGCTTCCACCAAACCAAAACTGAAGGTTTGTAGGAGGAGCAGAGTCCAGATGTTTTGGTCTGAATCCGAGTTGGATCAGTTATTGAAGCCTCCCTAAACAAACCGGACTTTCTAGGCAAACGAACTGGAGTTCAATTAAAGCGGATTAAACAAGGCTGGTATGAATGCAGCCTAAATGAAGATGATACATTTGCCTTTTCTGGGTTAGGTTTCGTTAACAGACTGTGACTGTGTTTAATTTGTATTAAAGTATTAAATAGGTCAGCTCTGCTCTTAAGATGAAGATGAATGAAGTTTTCCTCCACATGTCGGTGCAGAGGCAGGGACCAACTCTGACTCAGTCAGTGCAAACACACGTTGAATTCAACTCAAAGAGTTCATGAATGAATCACTTCAACATGTCGACAGTCAACTTTACCAAGAGGAAAACTTTATTTAACTGTTTGGTGAGTCAGAAACATGCAGGAGGTTGAGGAAACCTTGGAGCTGTAATCAGGGTGTGATGTGAACCAACTCTGTCTGAGGAGAGGAATTAACCTCAATGTTTGTAGCAAACAGCATGGCCAGCTGCCTGGTTAATCTGATTAATCTGGACTGTAATCTGAGACGCCTCCCGAGTCACGCTCACATCAGTCAACGAAAAGAAATCTGAAAGGTGAGGAAACCATATTCCTGACAGTGACACATTGAACTAAAAGCCTAAAAGTGTGAGAAGAGCCTGGAAATTGCACCAAGAAAAGTACTAATAACATGTCCTCAATATGAAGCTTCCCAGTACTTTACCACATTTTAAAGGCTGCACTCCAACATCCAATCACGAGCCAGAGAGATCCTAGCACTGAGCTTGTGTTTGCTGAACTAATTACAGCCAGCTTTGGTGAAACTCTACATGATCGGAGGAGTTGGAGCTAAACAGTCATTAGAAGGAGCAGGATGGCAGAGCAAACACCAGATCAGACGGGACTCTTAAAAAGACAAATCAGAGTTAATCTTCACGCTCCAGGAAGAAACCTGAACAAAAGAGGTGGAGAGGGTTTCTGAAAGAGGCAGAGATTTCCTGCTTCTCGCTCGTCAAACCAGTCAAACACAGAAACTCTGGCTCTGCTACATTAGTTGCATACTTAGCTTCGACTACATTAATTTTTCTGGATGAATTTCAAAGTAGTAATTTACTTGGTTATTTTACAAACAGTTAAATTCACTTTGATAAGCATTGAAGTTTTGGCTATTGACTTAAGAATTATTCAAGTAGATGTTTATATTCATGCTCTTATTTTGAAGAGGGTTCTGTTTCCTCTCCTCACCTTCTCTCTTTTTGAGAAACTGAGTAAACGAACAAATGAGATTTACAGAATAAAACACTTAGATGAACAAACAAGCTAACAAATACATTAAAAATCACATATATGACTAAGGATTGAATGCATTTATCAAAATTAATTTCTTATCATAAAAATTTTTATTTATTGTTCTCACCACAAATTCCAATTAATGATGTTTAAAACCTCTGAAAACTCTCTGTATTGTCCTGATTGTTAGTTTTACCATATCCCACTTTGTTCAATGAGTTACACAACATGTAACTCATGTTGGGCCTATGAAGATCTAATTGGGTTTATCTTAAACATTATTAAATCACCTTCTTTTCCAGAGATAACAGATATGGATATACTATCTTCTTTATAAGAGACATAAATATTTGTTGTTTTTCTTTTTCATTGATATTTGAGGAATTAATGCTGCATGAGGGTCGGTTAAAACCTGCTAACATAATGAACTCTGGACTCTTTGACCCAATCAGATCTCCTCCTCACCTCCCGTCCTGCTGACCTCTCTTTGTTCTCCAACAGTTTCCTCTCAGTGTGGAGCGCCCACCGGTCAGCTGGTCCCATCTGCGACCTCTGACCTCCTACCTCCACACAAACACACATCGACTCTCATCTCAGCTGCTAGGATTTCTACATTAAAGAGGACCTATTATGTAAAATTCACATTTTGCACATTTTTATGCTTAAATTTGAGTCTCTGCTGCTTCTAGAAACATTTATTTGCAGCCATTTTCCTGTGCGATTGTATTCGTTGAGCTGGGGGCGTGGCCAGCAGAAGATTACTTGGATTTAAAGTGACAGAGGCCCTAAAACAGCTAATTCTGAAAGGAGTTCAATGGCAGAACTCAGCAGACTGAAATCTCATCATCTAAGAATAATTATGCGCAAAAAATGTAGTGAACATGTTTTGTGTAGCCTATAATTTGACACCAACCTGTTAAAGGAAGGATAATAAGTCACCTTTAAGAAGTGTTACGGCTGCAGTGATCGCTGATTGGTTTATTTTCTTGCCAAAAAATCAGTTCTGGTTCAGTTGTGTACTTGCAGGATCTTCCAGTTTTTATGACTGAAGCAGAAACTTGAGTTTCTTCTGCACAAACATGAAGTAACTGATATTCTGCAGCAAGAATTTGACAGAAACATACAGAAGATTTCATCCCAAGGTCAGAACAAGGCAGCTTCTGTTGTGAACTTTTGTTTTGCTTCACTCTAAACTTCAATTTTTATCAGTTTAGTTGTAACTGTAAGGCAAGCAGCAGAAGCCGACAGCATGGCAACAGTTCAGAGAGGAATATTCGGGTCTCAGCTGCAGATACGTCAAAGATCGTCTCCAAGGCATCGCTGTTTGAATTAATAAACGCTGCAGCCGAAAAGACAAAACAGGCATCTGTGTCGGTCTCCGTTTGCTTTCCCTGCAGGACTTGATAGTCGACTTCCCTCGCCTCGAATTTTCTCCTGCGAAGTTTGGTCTGACATAGCTGTTATCTTAATACGGCTCTGTTTGGTGTGTTCAAACAGGAAGTGAAGCAGCCATAAGAGACCGGCTGGCCTTGGCAGAGAACATGCACAAGAAGAAGTAGAGATTAAAGCCTGCAGTCACGATTTTCCTCACTAGAAAGGAAGCAGAAGGCTGGTATGTCACCTCTGGCATTTAGGAGCACAGCAGCTTCGTTTTGCTGACATAAACCTGTTGAATGTTCCTCTGGAAAGCATTACAACTTTTTGTTGACCCACTTTCTGTCTGAGTCATGCCAACACTCAGTCATTACTGGTTAAACTAGGGGGGATCTGGTTGTTCCTTCTATTCGGTATCAGAGCCAGATAATGGTTTTCCTGCTGAAGCAGAGGTGAGAGTCTGAAACTTCCAGGTGTTCAGGAAAACCAGGATGTAAACGACTACTCTACTAATCCAGGTATCTAAAACTACAGTGGCTAATAAAACTAGTAAAACAAATATATGAAAGAGAAAATGTTTTTCTCTTTCATGTTCAAAATGTCTGAATAAACAATTCAGACATTTTATTCCTCAAAATGCAATACAGTTCAAACATCACCTTTGGTTTCAAGTATGGAGAAAATAATTAAAGTTCTAATGCCACATTATTTTTAAAAAATTAAAAAGAAATTGGCTTCTGTTTACATCTGAGGGAATGGATTATTAAAAGTTTCTAGACACCCTGATCAACAAGATCATTTCTTAACATAGGAAGCGGTTCTACGGAAGCCCTGGAAGGCAAATTTTAAAGACTCATTTTCTAAGTCAGACTAAATTTTGTATTTCTGCTATAAAAGAAAACATATAGATATTAAAGGTTTTAATTTATGTTTCGGTTTTCCAAGGACATTGTTTTTCTGAAAAACGACCAAAAAAAAAACCCCATCAAAATAAATTGACGTACAAGATCTGAACAAATCAAGTATTTTTGATTGTACAGTCATTGTATCATTTCTTAAGCAAGCAATTTTTGTTCTGTCTTGAAAGGAAAGCAAGAAAAAAATGTTTGAGTTGCGTTGGAAAAGAGTTTGTCTGTAAAAAAAATTTCTGTCGCTAGAGGCAATACAGTCTTTTTTTTGCGCCACAGATTTTTATTAACAGCTTTACTGTTTATTAGTTTATTTACATCACTGGTTTATTTTCACTTGCCTTCTCAGGAAAAAAAAACTTTCCTAAAAGGAAAAAAATAAAAGTCTTAAAAAAATTTTATTATACGTCTTTAAAACTTACAGTAATGTGAGGAAAAAAATGTAAAAAAAGATAAACAAATGTCTTGCCTTTCAGGGCTTCCATAGATTCCTACTGAATAAAGAATTGGATTTTCCCAAAAAGAGCAAAGTAAGACGAGGCGATAAAGTTCAAGTTAGTTTTTAGTAAAAATTGCTAACTGTTGTAAACTGTCTTGTCAGTTTTGTCACAGGTATTAAAACTAAATAGTTTTTTGTAAAGGAAAGAAAAGGAAAAGCACACCACACACAGGAAGTTGTGTGGATTTGCGTCTCGAGCGACGTACCTTGGCCGATCTTGACGAAGCCGATGATGATGATGAGGGCGAGCGCCAGGAGCTTGGCGGCGGCAAAGAAGTCCTGCACCCTGGTGGCCGCTTTCACGCTGTAGCAGTTCACAAACGTCAGCAAGACTGCAGAGAAAAACAAGGCAATAAGATGGAGACAGAGAAACCATTCTAATGAAAAAACTGTTTTAAATTAATCCTAGTTAATTTAAGGGTTTGTGATTAATTAATCCCGATTAATCTCATTTTAATCGAAAACTACATATTGACAAAATAACATTTTCAATTCAAAATCCCTTTCTGCTGATAAAATATCAAATAGATAGACACATGAACTCAACAACAAAGATATTTATTGTTTTTAATCTGTTATTTAGGCTCATCAGTCATCAAATTGATGCTTTCAGATGTTTCAGGAACGCCTGATCATCCATGGAGCTTCTTTAGAAATGTGGACGTTGACAGATGCGTTAGCGTCAGTGCTGCTGCTACATGTGTAGCAATGAGATGCTATTTTAGCCTTGAATAGTTTTGCTGATAAGCGTACTCCTTTAAGCGCAACTTGAACACAACTTTAATTGAACTACAGTTTGTTTGCCTTGACAGCCTGGTTCGTTGGTGCTCTGATATGGACCAAAAACAGTGAACTCTGTTCGGACTAAAAACCTAACTTCTGTGCGGTTTGAATGCATATGTGAACGCCAAGACCACTCCAAAAGCAGAAAGTGGACTAAAGCCTAGGGCATTCTGGGTAAATAAAACCAAAATAAATATGTGAGTCTTGCGCTAGTGGGAGAAATGACTAGTGTATTTTTTTTTTTAACCAAAGACAAAAGAGAAATCCTACAACTGCCACCCCATTTTAGATTCCATTTGATGAAAAAGGAAGTTGCTCTCAATGTTGTCTTCAGACGTTTTTGTTCTGTTTTCTTCAGTTGTTATTGGTGCAGCGTCCCCACAGGCGAGGAGGGAAACAGGTTTTTCAAACGGTTTGGCTTTCACTCAGTGCAGAGTGAAAGCTTAGTGCACCAGATCGAAACGCTGGATTTCCACTGACTGTAGAACTGTGCAATTTGCCATTTCGAAAATGAAGCGGCTTAATGGTAACATGCCAATTTTGAAAATACTCTTGTTTGTCGATAAGAAGTGTTGATGCTAGGATGAGGCATTGCGTTTCAAAATTGGCTTATTTCACAAAACTGTAATGAAAACATTTTTTCGCACCACGAGTCACATGATCAACAACCAGATGTGGATGGGCCGTGGTGCACCATGCTTTCTAACGTGTGAACAAAGTTATTAATGCATGATTTTTAGTTACTTTCCTTACTTAATGGAAACACTGCCATTACAAAAATGTGTTTTTTCGACTTTATTGGAACACTGACAAAGTTTTGTGCACATTTGTAATGAAAATGTGCAATTTGGTCTCCAATCGAACCGATTCTATCAGGTCTGATAGTCTGATTGTTCTATCACACCTTAATGTGCTTAATGTTGCTTAATAGGGAGAATCAGAGCTAAAATTAGAGGTGGTTTTAAATGCAGAAAATGTCAGATATTTTCCAGAGGCTGTTTAGGTGAAATAAGGTATGAAACAGAAGGCTTTAAAATGTCCTGGAGATGCTCATTGACATGGTGCAACAACTGGAGTATTTCCTATGAAAAAGGAAAATGTTTTGCTCTACAGGTTAGGAACATTTGTGCAACAACAAATAGCTGCTGCAGTCCGTCTACATCCGCGGAGACGGAGTGTCCCTGAATTTCGCAGAAATGGGTTAACATTTCTGTGGGAAAATAAAAACAACAAAAGAAGAAAAACTCTTTTCAAAAGTGCATGTACAGTGCTGGTACTCGACATCCCCTGAAGGGGCCCAAAAAGCCCATTAGAAGTGATTAACTGAAGCAGCAGGTCCATTCAAAGCTCCTAAATCAGGTCGGAGCCACAACAGAGGACGAGGCGGCACAATGAGGCTCTGTGGCGAACACAACAACACAAAGGGAAAGAGGTCGCGTACAGTACCGGACCGGACTGTTCTGGGTCCGCCAAAAAAAAAAAAGAAACAGGTCAAAAAGAGGAAGAATTAGTCCTGTCACGATAAATTCTGCTGGACGATAAATTGACCCAGAAGTTATCATGATCAACGATAATATCGTGTTTTGAGACGATTTCTAAGTAATATAATGGTAACAGCATAAAGATGCAAGAACACATTCTCATTAGAAACTTTAAATTCTAATATTACACCTGATTTAATTTAACACCAAACTCAGTGTTTCTCCACCCTGGTCCTCACCGCCCCCCTGCTCTGCATGTTTTATATGTGCTTCTATTCCAGAACAGCTGATTCAAATGATTGCATGACCATCAAGTTCTGCAGAAGCCTGTTAATCACCCAGAGATACAATTCAGGTGTGTGGCAGAAGGGAAATGCCTAAAACATGCAGGACAGGGGGGCGGTGAGGACCAGGGCTGAGAAACACTGACCTAACTGGAAGACATCTTAAATATCCAAAATAAATAAAACAACTAATAAAATGAATTATGAAGTCTCTGTAAATAAAAAGGTCCAGTTGAGACCAAAGCACCAAACTGAGAACTTTTCTCATCCGATTTTTGGTAGAAAGAGAGAAAAGAGAAAAATGATAAATCATGCAAATAAAAATTATCTAGTTTGCTTTAAATTATCATGCGATTAATTGATTATTGCAGCAGGTCCAGAACGAATGTGGACAAAAACAGACACACAGAGAAGAACAAGGGGGGAAATGTCCCTGAGCAATCCTTATGACACACACACACACACACACACACACACACACACACACTTTGAGCCTCCAGGAGCTCAGCTCAGTCATGTGGTCTCAGTCAGGATTTAGCATTCAGTCGGTCTGGAGATTAGGTACCAAACTGGCTCGACTTTTATATTAACACACAATCAGCATCATGTGCATTCACACAGAGATGGAGTGTGTGTGTGCGTGTGTGTGTGTGTGTGTGTGTGTGTGTGTGTGTGTGTGAGGCAGCTGATTGGTTAAAATGAGGTTTTCTGTCAACTCATGAGCCTCGAACAGAGAGCGGTGAAAACTGGATGAAGCAGATGATAATCCAGAGTTAACCTCATTAAGACTCTGAGGAACAAAGCAAACCGTGTTTAAATGTTAGCAGAACCTGAAGACAAAACACTCTTCAATCAGGAGGAATGATGACAGACGACCTGTAATCATGAACATTGATTGATTTCAGTTTGATGGAGTTAAATCATTTCAGCAGGTCTTGTGAAGCTGCAAAAGTCCAGTTTGGTTTCTGTGATAATTTAATCATCTTTATGAGTTTGTTTGTATGTTTTATGATATTTTTTATGTCTTTTAACAATAAAAAGAAGCACAATTTTTTAAATGTTTAATTTATTTGTGTTTTAACAGTATTGTAAAATACTGAGTAATCAACACTGTTTTTAATCTCTGCAATCTGTTTTCAAATAGAAGAAATATAAAATGTAATTTTCAATTTTTGAAGTGATGTGTTATATTTGTGTTAATTTGATTAATTGATAAAACAAATAAATGTTTATTATTTTGTACAAAAGTACTTACAACATGAACAATAATGTCACAACTTTTGTTTTATCTATTCAAGGGAGTGCATGGAAGTAACATTTATTTATATTTTCACTCCTTATCCATTTATTCTGATATCTCCTACATAACCTTACAAGTATGGAATAATGAATTATCATTCATAAAGTGGGAAAGTTTGGATCTGTCGTTTGGAAAGGGACACAATAAAAATATAATACATTTATAGAACACGTGTCATTCTTATACTAAAGCTACAAGACGACTAAATGCATATTAAATAAAAATGTACCCAGCAATATCTCTGATATTTTATGCTTTTCATTTGTTTTCTTGCACTAAATGAAAGTTCACAACTAAATCAACTGTTTTCAATTGAATATAAACACTTTAATTATTTAACAAAATTATTCTGTTTTGTTTTGGCTCAGTGTCGGCATCAGTGATAGGCAGAATATTTAAAAACTAAAGTTTTTTATTAAACTGTTTTATTGTTGTGTGAAGGAGGGTAAATGAGCACACGCCCATAACAGGAGCTGATGTAATAACGCGGCGCTTTTTCACCATTATCTTTAGCGCGCAGAACACTTTGTGCAGCAGAACACGTGCAATAAAACTGCACATACAGGTGAAACAGGAAGTGTATTTCAACCACATTCGACAACTCAAATCATCCAAAAGTTGCATCACCCGAACCCGAAGTGGGCTTGGTTCCGCCCGGATACTCACGGATGCAGAGGCAGGCCACCAGCTTGGCCCCTTGCTCCGGTACCGGGCACACCGGGAAGATGGGCTTCAGCAGGTATGTCGCGAACACGTAGGCAACGATGTACTGGGAGGAGGGCCGGATGATGAGCAGCTCGATCCAAAGCTTGAGGAACGCCAGCAGGGAGCCGTACACCTCCAGGATGTACGCGTAGTCCCCCCCGGACTTGCTGATGGTGGTTCCCAGCTCCGCGTAGCACAGCGCTCCCACCGTGGAGAACACCCCGCACACCGCCCACACGATCAGGGACATACCCACCGAGCCCGCTTCCCGATACACGCCGGTCGGCGTCACGAAGATCCCCGAGCCGATGATTGTACCCACGATGATGGCCACGCCGTTCGTCAGGGTGATGGTCCGCTTCAGGGCGACCCCGTCCTCCGCTGCGTCCGCCGGCAGGAGGCTGCTGGGGCTCCGGGCGTCGCTCCCCGGGGTTCCAGCTGGATTGGAGCCGGCGGACAGCATCCTCTCGGTCACCTGCCGGTCCTCTTCCCGGCCACCGGAGGAGTTGGAGTTTCTCTTCTTCACCGATGACATCTGCGGAGCTTCCTCTTTCTTCTTCTTCCGTGAAGCTGCCGCCTCTCCGCTGTCTGTCCGCCGCGATCCGGGACGGGCTCCGACTGACGCTCAGGCCGGACTCAGACACGAGGAGTCTGAAAGCGTGTGTTAAAGCAGCGTGGTTGTCTGACTCAGTCTACAAAGAGATGGGGAAGCAGACATGATGGCCCTCCTCTGCCAGGAGGCGGCCCTCGACGAATAGCACACGCTATTCGGGTCCCTTTCCGCCCTCTAGCGGTAGAGGGTGAACAGTACTCCCATTTCCTCAGCATCCGTCAGTTTTTATGGATCAATTTCAAGAAATAAAATGTAATTTATTTCTCTTGCATAAAAATACGATGGTTTGCAACAAAAACAGAACATTTGAGATTAATCTAAAAAGAAAAATTCAAGAAAAACCGTGGAAATTTTAGAGTTTCAAAGTTGTAAATTTGGGAGAAAAAGCTCAGAAATTTTGAGATTAATTAGAAAAAAATAACATTTTTGAGCTCCAAAAGTAAAAATTTACGATAAACATTTTTTTATTCTCACTATTATGACATTAATGTCAGCGATTTTCTTAGATACAAAATCAGCAAAACATGTTTTTTTATATGATTAGTTGTCAGAATATTTGATTACTAAAGTAATCATCAGCTGAAACCCTAATTATTTTTATCCATCCAGTCAGCCATCTGGTCATCCTTTCATTTTTGTATGGGGGTAGTTATCCTAACAGTCTCGTTTTCATGCATGAACCAGGAGAACATACCAACAGAAAGACCAGACTGGAATTCAAACCCAGGACTTTCTTGATGCATAGCAATGGTGCTACCAACAAAATGACTGAAACAATCCACAAAGACATAACAAAGAATTAAAGATCAAGAGTAACCTTAACAAGTCTCTAAAATTCAAATATATAATTAAAAATAAAGGTTTATTCCCAGTACCATCACTTCAGTAGTTTAATCATAAAACCCTAGTAGTGTAGGAGTGAGAAACGATCATAAAAACTACATCAGATAACATTTCCAGGCATGTTTCCAAAGCATCTGAACCGGTTAGACCGGTGCTGTTTCCAATGAAATGCAGGCTGAGGGTTTGTAATTGTAGTAGAAATGAGGAAATACAGTATGTCTTGTTTTTACGGTCACTCTGGATAGCCAAACCCAGAATGTGAGTCATATCTGTGATCTATTAAGATTCATTCAATCAACCACTTATTTTGATAAATTATGCACATTAAACACAGGAAACAAAAACAACAATAAATAAACCCTTAACAACTGGTCTGCATCAGAAATGCAGAGTTTTGGGTGGCGGCTCTGCATTCCTCTCAGCCTCTGACTTGGAAAGCAGATGCTGGAAGGAATTACCAGTAACTCAGTGTGGTAAGATGTCAAATTCCAGCCATCAAGGGAAACATTTAGATGTGTCCCTGCTTCAACACACCTGAGTCAAATGTACTTACTGATGTGCTTTGGACCATTGTTCTGCTGCATCACCTAAAAGAGTTTGAGGCTACAAACTGATCCTTCTTCAGGATTTTCTGGTAGAGCAGAATTCATGGTTCCATCAATTACAGTACATCAATATTGTATTCAGGCATAAATCTGGGGAAGGATCCAGAAATATTTCTGTTGCTCTGAGAGTTCTAGTGAACTCCATGACCTCCATCATTGATCAATGGAAGAAGTCTGGGAATAGCTAAACTGAACGTCTAACTGACCGGGAAAGAAGGGCTTTAGTCCAGACCATGAACCTGATGGTCACTCTGTCAGTGCTCCATCATTCCTCTGTGGAGAGAGGAGAGCCTTCCACAAGGTCAGCCATCTCTGCAGCAACCCACCAATCAGGCCTGGATGGTACAGTGACCAGACCAAAGGTATTCTTTGATAAAAAAACAAAAAAAACAAAGCCATGTGGCGTTTACCAAGAGAAACAAGATTCTCTGGTCTGATGAGACAAAGACTGAACTCTTTGGAGTGAATGCATCATGTCTGGAGGAACCTGAGCTATGGGGATATTTGCAGCAACAGGAATTGGTAGACTACTCAGGATGGATGCAGCAATGTACAGAGACATACTGGATGAAAATCTGATCCAGAGCATCTTCACCTTGGACCAGGACATCAGTTCATTTTTCAGCAACAACGGTCCAACACACCTGACCAGGATCTCAAAGGCTTCAGAACCATTCTGTGAAAGTCCAGACTTGAATCCAACTGAACGTCTCCGGAGAGATCTGAAAATGTCCGTCTCCCAGGCAACCTGATGGAGCTCGAGAAGTTTGGGCGTCTTTGCCTAAAGACTGGGGAGAAATGAAGTCTGAGTTGTATGGCACTTTTCAGGGCCTTCACAGACACTTTACAATAAAATCAGCTTATCATAATCATACACTGATTATGGTAAGCTACTGGATAGTAGCCCTCCTGGGGCAGTCTGACAGAAGCAAGGATGCCATATTGTGCCATTGAACCTTCTGACCAACACCAGCAGGCCAGGCAGGTGAGGACACCAGGACACAACAACAAAGGCAGACGGAGTGGGAATTGAGCTGACGATGACCCACCCACTGCAGGGCGAACTCCTACCACCATCATCACCATCACCCAAGTTAAGCTGGTGGCATCATATTCAAAAAGATTTGAGGCTGTAATTGAGCCAAAGGTTGATCAACAAAGTATTAACCAAAGCTGGGAATACTTGCACAATTCATGTGTCCGACTTTTGGTTTTCTAGTTTTATTAAATTTGCAAAAACTATTTTCTACATTCTCATTATAGGGTATTTGTGTATAACATTTTGAGATATTAATTTAAAACAATTAGGATTAAGTCTGTAACATAAAATTTAGAAAAAGTTAATACTTTTCTAATCTCCTGTAGTTCTTGTTGAGGATTGCTTGTGTGTAAAAAGAAGCTGCAACACAACTGTTATTGTTTAGAGCTATTGTAGATCACAGACTTGCTTCAACCGACTCCAAAGCTTTAGACACCCTGCAAGGAAACCCTCCGAACCATCAATTGTTCGGTGGGACAGGGAGTACATGTGACTAAATGTTTGTGTAATTTTTCTGCGGCCTACATGCAGATTCCCAGCAGGAGAATATGGAAACATTTGGCAGGACAAGACCTCTCCCACACCAACAGCCCACTGTTCTTTGTTTACACTCTCCCTCAGATCCGCAACATTGGACAGAAAAATCCTTTCACTCCTTTCAAGTGGGCAGTCAGATGAGGAGCTGGAATCTTCTTACAGCATCACGTTGCGTCAGTCCGATCCCGTGAGAAGAATTTTACAATCAACGAATAACTGTGATATTTTGTCCTCATTCATAAATGCACCAGGAAACTCACCAACAGAACAGGTAGCAGCAGCTTCTGCCACTTAGAGGGAATTAGTTTGTTCACTTACTGCTTCCAGTGACACCTGGCTGTGCAGAGTAGGTATGAGTATGCAACTAAAATTAACCTGGAATACCAAAGATGGCTTTCCTTGCTAAAATCTGGGTGCCGTAGGTTTAATTATTAATGTTCAAAAATTTCTCTCTGCCATGAAGAAGTTTCACACCCTCTCATCTAATTTTTACCCTGATGCCCCACTGCTAGACCCCAGATCGATGCACTCAGAAGGATCTGTGTTTTTACAGAATCAGATTTCTGTTGTCTTGAAATGTCTTCATTGAGCTGCAGGTCAGTCGGTCAGAAACACCCCATCTTTTCCTCTCCAGTCGTTTTTTTTTTGTGTTGTTGGATCGGTAACTCAGGTCACCTTCCCTCTGCAGCATCAGATGCTGCAGTAGAGCCAGTGGATGATCTTAGAAGCAAGTTTGACTATAAAACCAATAAGTAACAGATTTCATAATTTCCTTGATAGTTTTACTGTCTCTGTCCAAAAAAGCTCACAGAATAACCAAACCTCATCCCCCATCCAGCCTGGGGGAACTGTTGCACCCAGACAGACAGGCAAGTCGGGATTGAACTGCAGACATGGATTAAGGTGGAATTCTGATGTCTGACCTGCAGGTATTCAGAAAAGTACAAGTTCAATAAATGTTGAACATTTTGATCTCGTCTGAATGCAGGAAATTATCTGTCTGCAGCCTCCAGAGAGCTCCGACTGCTTTACCCCGTGGTCTCGATATTTCTTCCATGTTGCTTCGATTCTCTGAATCCTCATGTGACAATCCTCACAAAACTCCAACAAGTCTGTGCTTTAAAGATTAAAACTTTACATAACATCTTTCCAAGAAAGCTCTCTGCTATCTGAGTCGTCACATGTGCAGAGTCACTGTGGAGGCATCTGGCAGCTTTGGCTTTAAATCTGGATGGTGAGCATTTTTATCTCTCTTCTCTGCCTGAACCTGAACAGGAAATCTTTATTCAGATTAGTCATCTACTAAATCAAGTTGCAAAAATCTGCAAGACGTGTTTTCATTTTTAAAATACTCAAATGCCATCTGGCAGGAAGGAAGCCTCCCTATGGTTTCCTGTTATATTTTACATAACTGTGGTGTCACTGAAACAGCAGCAAATACTAAAAACTGTAAAAAAATTCAAAACTGAATTTCCTTTGAGGATCAATACAGTATTTTTTTAACTAAATTGAACCTCCACTGGTTATTTAGGAGAAAAAATAATTTTCTTCTGCTGTTTCTTCAGCTCTTCTTGATATTTAAATGAAACTGTGAGTTTTGAGCTTTTTTTAAACAAACACTCCAGGCGTGTTTGGTGTTAAGAAAAGCATGAATTGTGGGGAAGCACTTCATGCTCTGAGTTGGTGGACCTATGATGCTGTGGGCCTGCATCTCTCCTGATACAGAAAGGTTTGGATGAAAATTCTGCTGGTTTCTGTGAGAAAAATATTTAAAACAATGATTATTATGTCTTTCAGAAAGATAATGAGGTAAAACATTTGACCAAATCAACACAGAAAATCAACTTTCCTGACACAGGAGCATCAGAATGACACTTGAGCATTTCATCCCCAACAAACCAGTTAAGGCTGCATTCAAATCCAAACAGGAATCCCACGAAGGAAAAGCTTTTGTCTCAAATCTCTGAAACACCAAACAATCAGATCAGAGGAGCTGCTGCAGAAGCAGGAGCAAGACGAAGAGGAAGAGCAGCTGGCCTGGAGTTCAGAGGAACATTTTCTCCGTTCATGTTCCTGTTTACACTGAGCAGAATCTGGATTGTTTTCTGCTTTTCATCTCTCTTCATTGATGATGGCAGCTGGACAGAGTCTCTATGGTGCAAACCAAACGTAAAATCATAAAATATACATGTAACTTATTGATATGTTGAAAAAATATTTTCTCTCTTACAGATTTCTTCTTCTTTTGTCACAAAGATGAATACAAAGGCATATTTTGATTTCTGTGAAGCATTAATTGCCCCTTAAAGCTAATAACTGGTTTTTCCACTCTTAGCATCAACAGCCAATCAAATGTCTTTTCCATCATTCTGGAAGAATTTTAACCCACTCTGCTTTGCAGAATTGCTTTAATTCTAGCTGCGTTTCCATTACAAGCATGTGCAAAACTTTGTCAATATTCCGCTAATGTCGAGAAAACTACTTCACAATTGCAGTGTTTCCATTAAATAAGAAACATAATTAAAACCACACATGAATAAGTTTGTTTGCATAAAAAACATTCTGCACCATGATTCTCCAACTACTTTCTGTCGTCTTCTTCGTAGCCAGAGGCAACATCTGATTAAGTGTCTCATGTGATGCGAAAAAGGGTTTCCACTGGAGTAATGCAAAATAAAGCAATTCCAATATGTCTAAATAAAAACACCAAAACTTTTTATCAACAAGCAAGGGTTTTCTTTTCAAAATTGAATGAACAATAATAACAATAAAGCTTCAGCTTTATCAATTTAAGTGGATTGAGAGCAGTTAGGTAGTAACTAGTTACATTTTCTCAATTACATTTACTTGAGTAACTTTTTTGAAAAGATGTACTTTCAGGAGTATTTTTACTATGCTTTACCTTTTACTTTTACCTTAGTAATTTTATTTTGAAGTACCGCTACTCTTCTGGATTCCCCACCCACTGAATGAATTCAAACATGTTTTAACCAAAAATCCACGATACCTTAAATTTTTGATAAAGTTAAATATGTTTCTTATTGAAAGAAACCATTTGGAAAAATTTATTTAGCCTGATTTTATTTTTTTATTTATATATATTATTGCCATGTTGGTCCTTAAAATACCGAAGTTTCCACTTAGATTTATATTTCGGTCTTTCCGATTATGTGAGTTTTAAATATTAAATAACTGATTATTTGATGAGTTACTCCTTGAATTGCTGTTTACACCGAATACTTTTTTTTTTTTTTTTTTGCTCTTACTTGAGCATTTCTTGGATGGCTACTTTTTACTTTAACTTGAGTAAAAATATATTGAAGTATCACTACTACTCTTACTGGAGTACAATTTTTGGCTACTCTGCCCACCTGTGATTGTGAGGCGAATCAATCATTTCAGCCATGATTTTGTTGGAAACAATTGTTTGTCCTCATCCATACAATCAGGGGAAACCCGGTACCGGAGCGTCTGAGCAGAACCTGAGCTTTCAGTCTCCCGCAGCGAAACACAACAAACACCCCACTGACGGTCAGCTTCAATCGCCTGCTCTGTGGCTGGAGTCGGGTGGAAATGTGGGTCACACCCAGCCCACCCGGAGGTGCCTGGGCGGCTTGTTTGTGCTGAACATCCCCTCATAGAGCCAGCAGTGCTTCAAAGCACAGGACCGAGTCAGACTGAGGCAGCTGGAAGCGGTTTTTACTGTGGAAAACGATCCGGATCGGGAACAGAGTAGATTTTAATTTAAACAACCACCAGGTGGAAAAGCTTCACAGCAACTGTGTTTCCTTTGTCAATATTCTGTTAGTGTTGAAAAATACAATTGCGGTTTTTCCATTAAATAAAAAACGCATTTAAAAATCACACGTAAATGTGCTCATTAATGAGATAAGTCATTAAGAACATGCCTTCTTACCACTTCCTGTCATCGTCTTTGTGTTTTCCACTCGTAGTAACATCCGGTTGTTGATCACGTGACCTGTATGACTGAATACTCAAATTTCGATACAGTCGAAAATACACCTCATCTTATTAAAAAAACGTGTTTTTTTTCAACATAGTTAATTATTAAGCATATTTATTTTCATAATTCAAATCTGCGCAATTATATGGTTAATACCCTGAATTTCAAACTTAAACAACATGGTTCAATATCTAAGGTCACAACTAAAATTCAGACTTTTCAAAACTATAATGAATACAATTCAAGATCTGTATCACAATAGAGATGTACAAAGATAAAAATCACATTTGTTGTAGTAGTGCCAAGATTTTTTGCACAGAATGCACATAACATTGTACGGGTTGGCAGCAGAAGAGTGAAAGACTTGATGTCCTGCAGCCAACTGGCAATAATTTGCATTTACCAGGCAGATGTGAAAAAAAATCTAGGTAGCTCGCAAGCCAGAGTTTATTAGCAGCTAGTTAGCAGTAGCCTCAACCGTCTGCGTGCAACTCAAAAAAGTCTCAACAGAAAAATAAACTATGTAGAATGAGATTAAACAGTCCAGCCACAACAAAATTTAAGACCTGTCATTAAGGCCAACATAAACATTTTCTAATGAATTTAATGCATTTTAAGGCCCTAGTTTTAGATACATGAATTTAAGACCTTTTAAAGATGCGGACACTCTTAAGGTTGTAAATTTCTTTAGATGAAACTTATAATATTGACATCTGGATGACACTGCTGCAAAAAAATCCTAGGAACTCATGGCCAATCAAAGTCCGAAGATACGAGGCAGCATTTATGGTAAACATTCAGAAATGAGTGGGAAACAAATATTGATAATGTTGATATTTCTTTGGATATGTTGTAGCATTGTCTGCAGGTTTTTAATGGGGCTCCCTCCCAAGAAGCTTTTTTGGTCATGCCACTGAAAGGGTGCAGATGTTAGTGGTGTTAAAAATGAGTACATTTTAGATCATTTTTAACATTTAATGTGACATACATAGTTCTAAAAATCAAACTTGACAGGAAACAAATCCATTAAAGGAAAAGTAAAAGCAGTAATAAATACTTTTCATCTGGTGAAACCACCATTTTGTTGATTTGAATTCAAAGCGATGTTGAAAAAGGAAATATATCCTCAGTTTTCTAGAAGAGGTTTTGGGTCAGAACTGACAAAGTCTCCTGAACTCATGGTTTTATCAGTCAGAAAAACTAATCCCGACGCAGTAAAGCAACCCCAGATTATCACTCCACCACCACCATGTTAGCGTGTAGCTAGTGTTTTAACCAAAGCTTGAAGCAAAGAAAATGACAGAATTGATCTCAAACAACTTGATATATTAGTTTATTGTTCAACATTACAATCCAGTTTCTTTAAAAATCTAAATGTACATAGGTGGTTTACAGTTTTCCCCTCTTCTTGAGGAGCTGGAATCACCCTCAGCTGGATGGCAATCTTAACGAAGCCACGCAGGTGGAGCAAAGCATGCTGGGAGTAGCCCAGTGTGACACTGGAGGGGGAGGGGGCAGGAATGTAGGCTGAACACTGGACAAATAAGCAGTGAGAATATGCACTGCTTACAGTTACAGTAAAAACAACATACAGCTGCTTAAACATCCCTCTGAGCTGCAGGTGATGCTGCACATTCAGTTATACCTCAGATCAAAAATCAGGGACATATTTAAAACATCTTCATAAATTACAGTAATGAATATATTGTGAAGTAAACAAATTACTACAGACAGAAAAAGGCATTAAAGTATTTTAAGGTAACATTGCAATAAAAACAGGCAAAAAAGTAACTTAATGCACAGTTGGAGCATAAAAGCAGCTCTGGGTCCCTTCATTCTGTTACCGCCCATATTTAATGTTTTACGCCACCTGTGTCAAACTCAAGGCCCAGAGGCCAAATCCAGCCCACTGTAGCTTGTGATGTGGCACTCCAGGCTCCAAGCTGCATAAATCAGTCCCTACAGTTTTTCACGATCGCAAAAATCAAAAAAATCCTAAAGCATAATTGTGAGTTTCTTACAAATTTTCTGCAAAAATAGTGAAAAAACATTAGGTTTAAGTTAGGGGAGTCCAAAGTGTGGCCTGGGGGCCTTTTGTGGCCCTCAAAATGATTTTGATTGGCTCCTTGACCACAAGTCAAGAACATAAAAAATTTGGACAACGAAATATAAAAACAACTAATAACTTTTGTTTGCCGCCTCAGTCTTATTTGATGTGAAGTTACAGTTTGTGATCGATATGACGAGTAACAAAAAGTCACATCTGACCTCAAGTTGGCAACATTTCTTGTAAATATTTCTAAATTTGCACCACAAAATCTGGAATCTGAACGACAATCGAAAAATCCTGGCGGGACTGATCAATATAAAAGATTTTCTTTCCATTTCATAATTGTATGCCACTTTGTGTTGGTCTTACACATTATATTCCAATGTTTTTGGTTGTAGGTCAATGGTGTGAATACTTTTGTAAACCAGAGTATTTTAATTATTACTTACAGAATGCAGAGACAGCCATTTATTAATACTTTAACAGTTTGATAACATATTCCTTCATACATTCTGACACAACTGGCCCTTTAAGAACATTTATGTGGCCCAAAACTGAAAATGAGTTTGACACCCAAAGAAAACCCAAACCAAGCAGCAATGTTTCGCGCCTGCTGTGGCCCCTGTGGTGTTTATCTAACTATTCTGAAGCTTTCAGAACAAGTCGCCATCACTCGTTGCATTTCATTGCACAGCGTCCCGCTCCGTCTGCTCCGATGAGGGGAGTTCACGACCCCCGTGGTCACTGCTGTGAGTTTGGATAGCTGTATTGTCAAAGAGGGATTACAGGGACGGTGGCCTCTCGCCTCAACTGGACCGTAAATCAGAAATAAAAAAACTTCACGCGCCGAGGACAAACGTGATGCGTCTCTTCACCTCGAGCTTCAAGTTTATCTTTGTGGCAGAGCAGCACAGGGGGGCGTAACGGCAACAGACAGGCATGACGCAAAGCAGGAAGGAGGCTGGACTTCCTCAGATAACTGAATATTGCTTAAAACTGAGAAGATTGCAAAATCCTTCTCAGTAGAACCTGTTGCAAAATGCACTGGGTGTAGAAGAAGAAACAAGTTTAATATCTGCTGAAATGACGCTCAAAGTAGGCACTTTTTGTGCTCTTTTACTTTGATTTAAAATAAATCATCTTGCAGTGAATAGCACCCTGGGTTCAACCAGTCTATCTGTATTTACATTATTATTTATTTTATACTCTGATTTTAGTGCATTTTTGTCACTCACGTAATCTAGAGTCCATTAAGAAAAAGAAAGTGATTATGAAGCAACTTAAACATAATTTTACTTATTTTGTTGTTTTATTTCACCAGGTAAATTGGTTGAGAACAAGTTCTCATTTCCAACAACTACCTGTTCAGGAACAGGAAGTGTTTATCACCAAGTGTACAGCAATATTTTCCTACAGCGCTTACATTATGCATATTGAGAAGAACCGATTCAGTTTTTGTGCCACCCCTAGGCTATATCACCCTGGGTGAGAGCCATAAAGGCACAACAGTAGCTTAGAAGACTGCATTTTCTCAGCTTTAACAGGAACAATCTGATTAGTTTTATCCAACTGAACCAATCTGAATAAAGCAGACTGAAGAGATCAACCTGATACAATCAGATGATATAATTCTGACAAGATTGACTGAAAGTCTCAACCGACTGCCATTTCTTTTAATTCTGTAAAGTAAAAGAAAAGAAATCAGGCGAGAATTAAACCAATACAAAAGAGAAATCGGAACATTTAAAGGCACTTAGGGTTCATTGAATCTTATACTTTCATTCCCACGCTCCGTGTCGCTACGAGTGTGCTGCTCGAACATTGCATGTTTGTGCGTCTTAGTAACAAAGGCTGAGTTAAAAAAAAAAACAACTCAGTTTAAAAGTTAAAAAAATGAGTGAAACATGGCTCTGAATGTCAGACATATTCAGAGGAATCGAAATGTAACAGATGACGAAAACATTCAGTAAAACAAACAGCAGCCTGAGAAGACCGACTGAAAAATGATGTGTGATTTTTGGAGAATTTGAATGAAAATTTAAAGGAGAATTTTGCTGTAAACAGACATTAGATAGAAATCTGACTTGTTGGGTTTTTACTGAACCTGAAGCTCAGTGTGACTGAACTCCAAAATGTAGAATAAATATGATTTATGATAAAATAATCATTCAAATAAAATAAAATCCCCCTCAGCTACCCATATTCCCTTGTTGATAACTGGTCTGAAACAGTCAAACCAAACCTAAAAATAAAAGTTTTTTTCCATCCTCTGTAAAATTGTTAATTCAAATAAAACAGGAAGTGATTGTATTGAATGAAGCTCCCCAGAGGAAACGATCATATAAACATTGGTTCTGCTTCGACGAGCAGTGTTGTGTTGTTATTGAGTCCAGCAGCATAAGCAGTTCTGCTCGTCACCTCTATGGCGCCTCCTACAGGAAGGGAGTGAAGGAGGAGCGGACGGTGCGACCCCGCAGAGGCTGCTGCACCCGGAAGTTGTTCACCATGCTCTTCTGGACTTCCTCCTCGGCAGAGGTGAACAGGAGGCTCCGGAAGACCGCCAGCTGGAAGGAAAGGCGTGAAGCACTGATAAAAATGTTCAGATTTTACAATCCGATGATATCAGTATTGGTCCTGGTATTGATAAAAATTCTAGATGGGGTCTCGGTGACAATGTGCTCTGAATGACGGCTTGCTTTATTATTTTAATTTTTTTTATTTATTATTTTATTATATTAAGAATTCCTAATGACACTTTCTGAACCATTTGAAAGAATGTTTGTTGCATTTTGTTTTTTACATTTTTGACCTAGATATTGATTTTGTCAGTCTCAGTTTATTATCTCTATAGTTTATTAGAAAAAGTAAGAAAACAAACTAATAATTCCTTAGTTCCATGTTTTCATGCATCTCTAATATTGTATAATAAAGCATAAAAATCTTGAGAATGAGACTTTTTTTGTCTGAATAATCAATAACTAAAATAATCGTTTATTATGCTTGCAAAATAAACAAACACATCTGACATAACTCCACTCAAGTAGTGGGTGAAAAGATATGGACAGCATTTTTAAAAAAACTAAAAAGGTGTTATTAGTCTGTGAATTAGAGTTTGATGGGGTCATTTTCTTCCACTTGAGGAGCCAAATTCTAAAATAATTTTTTTCAGTTTCAGTTGAACATGAGCTCTAAAGCAGAAGATAGTTGGTTTTACTGTTGTGGTATTTTTATGGATTAAGATTACAAGTTGATGCACTGAAACTGAGTTCTGAAAACCAGAGAGCTTTTCTTCCTTCTGTTTAGTTAAAACGGACTGCACTGACTATATTTGGCCACTTGGGGCCACTAAAGGAGCTTTGATTCCCTACTGAGTGACCCTGAAGTATCTAAACAGTGTATAAAAACTTCCCCAAATATCTGGTGAAAATGAACAGCTTCATTATATTCCTTCAGCAGAGGAGACTAAACATGTTTATACCACTAGGAAAAGGATCTAGCAACTTTTCCAAACATGCAGCACAACATCTATGGTAAAGAGATAAGAATCAGCAATCTGTTTTAAAATAATCGTCAGGTGTGAGTTAGACACATACCTGGTCATGGCTGACTTCAATATGCTGCTTCATAACGATCCAGGTGACGGACTCTGTGAGAGGGGGCGTGGTCAGAGACCCGTGGTACGTCCAGTAGTCATCGATGTTGGAGGGAAACAGACTAGCTGGATCAAAGCGGTTGAACTCCACCACGCTGTCCTGCAGACGGACAGAGACAGAAAGACTTTAAAATTGCTTCCTGAGGCCTTGCTGGGATGTAACGCCAGCAGAGGGCGCCACTTCAAAAACAGATTTTAGTCGGAAGGTTTGGTGATCTGATGCATCCAAACACGAAGCTTGGACACATTTTCCAAAACGTGTGACTGACCTTGTGTCTGATGGCAGGCAGAGCGTCAACCAGCTTCTGCAGCCCCTCATGTCTCTTTCCCACCTGAAATGGGATTAGACATTAATCTGGATTAAAGTCACAGTTCATGTCGTCATAAACAGCTCAACAGAAAGCAGCAGATTCATGACCAAAGTGTGTGTATATGTTTGTGTACCTTCAGAAAAATTCCAATAACGGCTAGTCCATTTTCCTCCATCACCGCCTCCTCGAACAGAGTGTACCTGTCAGAGTTCCAGTGGACCAAGTGGAGCTGAAAACACACACACACGCACACACAATGAGTTTCTGTAAACTGAAACCTGACGCCCTGCACGTTTTCACACAAACCCACACTGTGCTGTGGGCACCAGTGGTTAAAGGACAACATGCACAGTCACTGGAACATCTTATTACATGAAATCAAAATGGAACAACATAATATCTAATAAATGTTGGAGTCTATGGACATAGATCTGGGCAGTGAAACCAAACTTGGGAGGAAAAAAACTAATGTTTATTTAATGCAAATTAAACATTTTTTCCGAGCAGATGTAAGAGAAGATGCAGAGCTAAATAAAGCCAGGCTCTGTTTAGATCGGACTGCCTTTTTCCAGTCTTAAAGTAAAACCATGACTGGAACCTGATTAAAGAAGAAAATGTTTTTATTTCAGGAGTCCTAAAATAATTCAGACATTGATTAAAGCCAGAGTAGCTGCTAGTAAAGGACTAATTCTGATGTTTTTAGTATATTTTCTGATCGCAGTATGTTTCACAAGCAAAAGAAAATTCATGTTTTTCATGTCTATAATGTGATTTTCCCGTGTTTTTAACAGAAAGTGACCTCCACAATTTTTGTAACTATTTTTTGCCAAGAGATACAGTTTTAATATAAGCAAAATATGACAAATTCAGTCTAAAACGTTTCAAAAATCATGTCTTTTTTGTTCATGTCTGATATTTTTAAGTCTCACCCTGCAGTTGAACTCATGTTTGCATGAGTAGAGATTTTATTACATGCTATTAATATGCTATTGATCGCAATTTAACAATGGACACATGCAATTAATCACCATTGACTGGTCATTTGTTTAGACTTTTATCAAACAATATTCAAACCATTATATTAAAAACCTTTTAAGGATGAAGTTCTAATGTTGTGTTTGTATTTTAATGAAACTTTTGCCACATTCTGCTGAAAATAGATGAACTTCACTGCTCTTTATGTCTGTGTTGGTGGAGAATGTTTCAGTGCTGACACAGTACCTCTGCAGGAAACAGCCTTCGGTCCACAGTGTGCTCTGAGCCCCAGTCGTTGCTCTCACCCCAGTGGAAGTGGAACTGACAAAGCCTGTATTTGTCCTGTAGGGGGCCTCCCTTAAGTGCTACACAAGAAACATACATAAGATATCAGGATATTAGGGAAGCAGGCCGTATGCAATGATAATGGTGAGTTTTCACTGAAAAGTTTAAATTAGGTTTCTTAATTACAGTTTCTAACTGCAGGGTTTGTGCACTTTTCTCAGTACAATTTAAAAATTTTCAAGGTATGTTTTCAAACATTGGAGATAAAAACAATACAAATGAAATTAAAAGAGACAGCTTCAATTCACAATTATATAATATCACTTATTATTATTATTAATAATAACTTGTAATATTATTCTACCTTCTACAGCATGGAAAAGGCTGTTTTATGTTTTGAAATCTCTCTCACACCTGACTGGTCTGAAAAAGAAAAATCTCTAAAAATTGTTCTCGCCAAGTTTTCTGATATTAACAAATAAAAATTATTTTAGTAATTCTAACTGATCTAAAACGAGAAGTTTGATCTGATTTAACTTCAGACAGTGAGAAGAAAATTGCGTTTATATGTTTTTGTCATCTATAAATGTCTGTTTACATGTCCCATGTAAACAGACATGGAACATGTAAACATGCAATCTAACATTTGCATTTTTTTGTAATAAAATGCAAATGTTAGATTGCATTTTATTACAAAACTGTGCCATTTGAATAGCAAGTACCGTTAAGGACTTTATACAGAAATCAAGCACTTTCCAGATCATGGAAACACCTAATTGAAAGGATTTCAAGAACCTGTGCCAACACTGTTGGTGATTTGTTTAGTTATTAAAACTCTTCATGCTGCATTTAAAAACTAGAGTCACGAGAAAAAAAAGAAAATCAAGTTTTCTGTCTGTCTGATATTAAATTGGGCTGAACCTATCCCATTTTAGGTATCTCAAAACTACCAAACTCATTTATTAATTTGCCAACTTCCAGGACAATAAAACATTTTTTTTTTTTTTTTTTTTACTTTCTATAAATTTGAAAATTTCCCAATATTTCCTTTAGTATTTGGTAGAATTGGCTTTAAACTTTATGAACAAAATCAAATATTTTGGCTTTCCTTCCATAAGCTTCTCACAGTTAGTGTTCTGGGATTTTGGCCCATTCGTTCTAACACACATGTGTCAAACTCAAGGCCAGCGGGCCACATGTGGCCCGCCATGTCATTTTATGTGGCCTGCCCCAGCA